GAAAAAATATTACAGTCATTCCTTAAGTATTACTAATGAAGTACGCACTAAACCGGGAGGGGCGGGATAAATTTTGTGATTATTCGGTTCGGTTATTTCACAAATGAAATATTATCTGATGTTATCACTATTCTCATTTTTTGAAAAGCATATGAATGTAGGAATCAACAACATGTATCTTGGAGCTGTGATTGTGTCGTTTGAAGATACAGCTTGAATATGACATCAAAGCAAAATTTGTCAGACATAGGAAGAAGCATTTTTAAATGAGCAATACTACAAATGCTCTCTCATTTGTATTCTAAGTTGTATTTTAGGATCGTGTGGTTTTTCTAAACACTTAATTATTTAACACCTGGTATGAGTAGCCTTAGACAACCATGAAACGCTTTCTGAGGGACCTCTGTTAGTACACCAGTTCCGATTTGCCAAGAAAATACAAATGGAAGATAACTTTTTAAAAACATTTTTGAGGTTAGGGTGAAGGTTGGCGCCTGTTAAAACGTTTAAACCCGATGCATTTTTATGCACCTGTCCTAAGTCAGGAACCTGTTGTTCAGTGGTTGTCGTTTGTTGGTGTGGTTCATAAGTGTTTCTCGTTTCTCAATTTTTTATATAGATTAGACCGTTGGTTTTCCTGTTTGAATTATTTTACACTAGTCATTTTGGGGCCCTTTATAGCTTTGCTGTTCGGTGCAAGCCAAGACTCCGTGTTGAAGGCCGTACTTTGACCTATAATTGTTTACTTTTTATACATTGTGACTTGGATGGAGATTTGTCTCATTGGCACTCATACTTATTACACAACATCTTATTTCTATTGAGATAACAACAAGTTAATTTTTCTTCTTCTCACTCACAATTGTGAATAAGAATTGAAATAAATGAATTTCAAAATGCATATAATATACAACACTTTTTTGTTTTTTCTCATGTATTATCTGCGCCAAATTGTCAATTAAATATGCAATGTGCTAGAGAACTGCGTAGCCCTTTGTTGCTTTTTAAATTGATATTACTAGTTAAATGACCAGAATGGTATACCACATATTCTAAAAATAAAAGAGAGATAATGTGTTTTCAGTTCTGTATCAGGATAAACTTCAGAATTTAAGAAATTTAAATTTCAACGTGTACTTTTAAATTGTTCAAACATTATGGAGTATAGTTGAACATGTTACGAAATTTTAAATGCCTAAAGATTGTTTAAAGCTCGCTTATATGAGTAAGCACATTATCATTTGTCATCAAAGATACCAGGATTAAAATTGTGTACGCCCGACGAGCGTTTCGTCGACAAAAGACTCATTAGTGACGTTCGAATAAAAAAAAGATAAAAAAAGGCAAATGTCTTTAATAGCAGTGGATGGCGCTAGAATTTTTTATATATTTAATATGACTGTATAAACTTAAGGTGTTGATTAGACTCTTCAATATTCAAACTTCAGAAGGTTTCACTAGATTTCTGAGTTTTACATTGCGAGAGTAGAAAATTCAACGGAAACTAGAAGGTAACATACATGCAAATAGACCACGATAAGGGTATCTGATATCTATGAAAAATAGCAAAATAACCCCGAATTTTATTTTTGTGCTCTCTCTCTACACCCAACCTTGCCTATAAACACAAACTGGTTACATCCATAAACATATTTATATATACAACCTTAGAAAAATAGATATTCCGAATATTTGTTTTAATTTTTTTTAGGGTCAGTAAAAATTAACCTGAAGACAATAAGAGTTAACCAAACATCAGTCATTTCACGAGCTAAAACGAAGACAATAAAACTGCTATTCGTAATAGTAATAGGTGAGTTACACTTCATTGTTAATAAAATAAAGCACTTCATTTTAAAGAATTGAATAATATAACCTATAAATGGAATATAAAAATAGTTCAAGACATAAACAACAATGCATGCGTTGTCGTTACCAAAACCACAACTCGTAATTCAAAGTAGTCGTCTGACAGATCCAAAAAGAGACCACACGTTAAAATTCATAACTGCCAACCTGATGGCTACATATGAGGTCATTGTGTTAAATGTACTTGAGAAAAAAGTAACAAACAAGAAAGTTAAAATTCCTTCGAGCGTTCCTGATGATGGTAAATCCAGAAAAGCGCTTCGGACGCATTAAAATTTATAACGTGTTGTTTTCATTTTTTTTCGACATTTTGAAAAAAAATCAAAGTATAACACTTGTAGTAGATGTTAGACAGATCTGAAAAGCATTTACACGAAACAACACATTATTCTAAACATGAAGTCGTTTATAAAAAGTGCGGCGATAATATGTGTTCGACAAACTGGTAGCCAAGGTGAATGCAGTATAGCCTCAAACTCCTAAAATGGGGCAACCATAAAAATTTCAAGATATAGAAGTAGCAATAAAACAGTGTTATTTTGGCGTTGTAAAGCAGTTCGTATAAAGAAATAAGAAGATGTGGTATGATTGCCAATGAGACAACTCTCCACTAGAGACAAAATGACAAAGTTAACAACTATAGGTCACCGTACGGCCTTCAACAATGAGCAAAACCCATACCACATAGTCAGCTATAAAAGGCCCCGAAATAACAAATGTAAAACACTTCAAACGAGAAAACTAACGGCCTGATATATGTACAAAACAATAAAGAAAAAAATATGATACACAGCAACAAACGACAACCACTGAATTACAGACTCCTGACTTGGGACAGGCACATACAGAATGTGGCGGGGTTTAACTAGTTTGCTGGCGCCAAACCTATCCATAACCTGGGACAGTTGTGTAACGGTACAATATTAGAACAAACTTTAAAATCAGTTGAAAAGGGCTTAACCCATCAGATAGACACAAAGCAGAAAAACATCTAACAAGAACACAGACAGGACGTGGCAGGGTATTTATATATTCCCACAACAAAAAAAACTAAGTGTTCAATATGTAGAAACCAAATAAAATGTCAGATAGCCTTTTATTTGTGCAATTTCTAAAACAAAGTCTTTTTACAGAAAAAGTATCTGTTTTGTAAATAAGTTGCATTTAGTTTTGTCTTTGTTTTGTTGCGTTTAAGTTCGTTGGGTGGTGTGGTGGTGGGGTTATTACTGTTAAGTAACACAGCATTTTTTGAAACCTTATATCATGTGAGCTTGGCATATCTTGTAATGATAAAGCTTCTATGTTTTTACCATTTCAGTGTACATAGCTAGTACGGCACCACTAAATATTGCACAGATAATGAGTGTGTATGATTTTATGAAACCAGGAAGCACAATCTACAAGTTTCTCCATGTTCTAGCTCCAGTCAACAGTTTGATGAATCCGCTTGTTTTCTTAGTATTTAATAAGCAAATGTTTAGTCAAAAACGTGGACTTGGCAATCATACATGTACATAGTTATTATGTAACTACATGATCAATATCTATAAGCAAATGTTGAAATCAGTATGAAAGATTAAGGAAAGACCACTTAAACGGATAAAGAATCACCAATTCTAAGTACGAATCGAAATATTTGTGAAATAAGGATGAAATTGACACTACAGAAGTTTTACTGTCACTTTCAAGTCAGTTCGTTTTCCATTCGTTTGGTGTGTTTGAGCTTTGATTTTGCCATTTGATAAAGGACTTTCCATTTGGAATTTTCCGTGGAGATTGGCATTTTTGTTATTTTACTTTTCACTGATTGGTTAACATATAAAACATGTCTGCGTATCCACCAATTAGAGACATGTTTCCTCGTTGAAAGACACCGGAATAATCTTATGCTTTAAAAATTTACCAAACGTGTCCTATATCCTTGTCTTAACTTAGCAAAGAATAAGTATGGATTCGCGTGGCGAGTAGTGGAAGCACAGAAAGAGATGCTTATCCTGTCGACGCATCTGATTTGTCTCCTTTTGAAGTGCGTTTTGTCAGGTTATCTCTCTTGGTTTTCAAACGTAATAACCAGTTTAGAACAAAAGAAAACTGCTGAACGTTTTTATTTGTGTAAGCAATTTAATGAAATGCATGTAAATAATTAATCATGAACATTGACTACATTGTTTAATGGTGAATACTGTTTTTGTTTTTATTTATATTCATAGAAGAAGAAAAAAACGAATCCTTGAAAATTAACTTTCAACATGCACAGACTTTACTTTTTGTTTTGAATTTAGATTAATCTGTAATGATAAACCAAGACCGTGTAGTAAAAACTAATATGTTGTGTAAATAACTCCTCATCACGGATTTGACGCTATTTTGTATTATACAAAGAATAATCACCATATACAAGTTTCGCTTAGATAAATACATGAAAAGGATGTTGATTTACTTTAAAGATCATATTGTGACAAAAAAAAAAAAATATATAATACTGAATTAAACAAATACATCAAACAAAAAACAAACAAACAAAACCAAATATTGAAAGAAAGCATGCGAAAATCAAGAGAAAATACAAATATCAAACATACAAGAAAAAGAAAACAATGAAAGTCTGAAATAATACGAATATCGTTAAAGATTTTATTCTCATAGAAATAAAACAGAAAAAGATCTAATAAAAATCTAATAAACATCAAAGCGCATAACAACGATCTACCTCGACTGACAATATTTTATAAGCATCTAATTATACATGTAGTGCTCTGAACACATTGGAGACGCAACAAGTTGTCACTAACCAGAACAATACAATAACAATAAAAGGCGGCGCACATTGTGAACACAAAGACAAAAGCACTGGACTGGATGAACAAGACCATATCAACTAAACAAAGATCAGAACCGATGCTTGTTATAGTTTTTACTGCATTGGACTATTTACTTTAAAATTTCCTCATTACATTTTGCTTTGCATGTGTTATCTTTATTTGACGCAGTGCCGACGGATTAAAACGTTTTGATATTTTTTCTTCTCCAAGATATGCAAATTACATCAGTTAGGAATAATATGAAATTAGATTAAAAATATACCAGAGATCAATAAAAAAAAAGAAAAGAAAAGAACACACTTTGACGGATAAAAAAAAACAAAAAAACAAAGGCTTCTTAAAATAATATCAAATGCCTTGTAGTTTTACTCTGATGTTGATTTTACTTCCACTTTATCATTCGATACAACTGTACTACTGTCCTCGTGTTGCCTTCGGGCTTCCTCTTTATCATTCGATACAACTGTACTGCTATCCTCGTGTTGCCTTCGGGCTTGCTTTTTATCATTCGATACAACTGTACTACTGTCCTCGTGTTGCCTTCGGGCTTCCTCTTTATCATTCGATACAACTGTACTACTGTCCTCGTGTTGCCTTCGGGCTTCCCTTTTATCATTCGATACACCTGTACTACTGTCTTCGTGTTGCCTTCGGGCTTCCTCTTTATCATTCGATACAATTGTACTATTGTCATCGTGTTGCCTTTCGGGGTTTCTCTTAAAACTTAACCTTCTTTTGATTCTTGATACTAATCCAACTTGTGGCTGGGTTAATTGTCGGTGAAGGTCTTTAGAAATCCATTCCGTGTCGTGTTCGAAATTATATCCAGCATCTACTAGCTTCTTACATAGGCTTAATGGAAGTTTTTCATGTGAATGTACAACGGTATAAAGTGCACTTTGACCGATATAATCAACAACATTTACGTCAGTTCCGTTCCGTATTAGAAAAGAACATATTTCATCATTTCCGTCCTGCAAAGCAAGAAGAAGTGCAGTTTTCCCCGTGCAGTCAGTCAGGTCTAAGTAAGCACCTATGTAAAAGAAAATAATTAACAATTGGCATTGAGACAACATTGAGATCTTCATTAAAAAAATCTATCAAACAGAGCAATCCTTTACTTTTAACTGACGTTTTGCATGTGTGTAAATCTGCAAAATATCTAGTGCAATTGAAACACGCCCCTCTTAACAACTCTTTCCCGTGATGAGCAAGAGTAAGTGTCCATAGACATAATTGATTTTCAAATGATTTAGCATTTGTCGATGAAAAATAATTCTAAAAAACAAAAACATAAAACAAAACAAAACAAAACAAAAGAGAGAGAAAAAACAGACGGAAGACAGAAAACAACATCAGCAACCAAGCTCTGAAAAAATGACAAACAATAAAACCACAATACCACAAAACCACAAAACAAAAAAAACAAAAAAAAAAACAACACACCAAAGATAAAAACCCAAAAGTAAAGAAATATAAAACAAAGTTTAAAAAAATCAGAAAAATCAACACAGTCAATCCTTGGCTTGAAAGAATTTTTTTTTCAAACAATTGCGGTCATTGAACTTAATTAAATCAAATAATAAATGTTTCATATATGGCAGTGTTTCAATAAAGTTAACAATGAACTTTCAGTGGTGTATTTAAATGCGGTGTAATTTTAGTTCATTAATGATAAATGGTGGAGGAGTAAAATGAACATAAATCAAATAGTTGTCAATTATATTCAGACAAGTATCAATTATCAATTAACTTTGAATAATTTAGCATGTCAATTAAAAGTTAATTGTACATGAACTTTTCTTTATTTCCTCGTCCTGCCATTCTTTCCCCTGAGCGTTATGTTCCCCTTACATTAGTTCCATCATGTTTATGACCAGGTGTACAATGTGAAAGTTTTAATTATATCTTCATTTTCAAGAAATTTTCCCGAGAACGTTTTGTAATAGTTTTTAGTGTAGAATCGAATGAATTAAACAGCGTGTCCTAACTCTGTAAATATAAATCTTGTTAATGATTGGTTTGTGCTTCTGAAACGGTCAGTCGCAAATATTTCATTCATATCAAGTAACTACTCTTCAAAAAGTCGACGAAGAAAACATCACTCGACTAAAGATAACTATTTTGATATATCAGAGATGTCTTATTAAAATTCCATAATTTGAATGAGAGATTATATTGAGATGAAAATTATGTGCTTAAATTTGTAGAAAATGCAAAGGGTTTTCTTTCGACTTTTAACTTCTATGATATTTTGTGTGATTCTGAAATGTATGTGGTGGATGGTTGTCTGATTAAAGATCCAAATTTCATTTTCGATTTTAACCAAGAAGTAAATAAATTGACCCTATTAAAACTCGAAACTTTATTGCTGTAATAAATGACGACCATGACCCTTCAAAAATGCTCCCAGCAACCATGAAGAGGGCTACAAGTATGAAACAGTAATTCAAATTTAGCAGTCAAGTATAGTTTGCTCTTCAATTGTGATAAAATTGTATTGAACTAAGTAAGGAAACAATTGGGTTCCCATTCCATTTTTCAGGCCATTTATTTTTTCGTTTGAAATGTTTCACATCTACCAAGTCTTTTAAAGCTGATTATACGGTATGGGTTTTAATTTCTCATTGTTGAAGGCTGTACGGAGACCTATAGTTGTGGTTTACTGTGCGTATTGTTGTGTGTTTGTTTATTCTACATTGGCTGGAGGTATAAGGGGAGGGTTGAGATCTCACAAAATATGTTTAACCCCGCAGCAGTTTTGCGCCTGTCCCAAGTCAGGAGCCTCTTGTCTTTGTTAGTATTGTGTGTTTTTTAATTTTGGTTCATTTATATGTTTCGGAGTTTAGTGTAACGTCCAATTTCACTGAACTAGTACACATTTTTTATTAAAGGGCCAGCTGAAGCCCGCCTCCGGGTGTGGGATTTTTTTGCTGTGTTGAAGACCCATTTGGTGGCCTTATGCTGTTTTCTGCTCTTTGGTCGGGTTGTTGTCTCTTTGACACATTTCCCGTTTCCATTCTCAATTTTAAATCCACTTCATTTGGTCTCTGTCGGATAATTGTCACATCTTTTTATATATTATATGTACATCAGAATAGAATTAAATCATATTTACCAGCATTATATAGGACAGACACTGCTTCTAGATAGTCGTATACCATATTTACCTGCATTATATAGGACAGACATTGTTTCTAGATCGTCGTATACCATATTTACCTGCATTATATAGGACAGACACTGTTTCTAGGTCGTCGTATACCATATTTACCTGCATTATATAGGACAGACACTGTTTCTAGGTCGTCGCATACCATATTTACCTGCATTATATAGGACAGACACTGTTTCTAGGTCGTCGTATACCATATTTACCTGCATTATATTGGACAGACACTGTTTCTAGGTCGTCGTATACCATATTTACCTGCATTATATAGGACAGACACTGTTTCTAGGTCGTCGCATACCATATTTACCTGCATTATATAGGACAGACACTGTTTCTAGGTAGTCGTATACCATATTTACCTGCATTATATTGGACAGACACTGTTTCTAGGTCGTCGTATACCATATTTACCTGCATTATATAGGACAGACACTGTTTCTAGGTCGTCGCATACCATATTTACCTGCATTATATAGGACAGACACTGTTTCTATATCGTCGTATACCATATTTACCTGCATTATATAGGACAGACACTGTTTCTAGGTCGTCGTATACCATATTTACCTGCATTATATAGGACAGACACTGTTTCTATGTCGTCGTATACCATATTTACCTGCATTATATAGGACAGACACTGTTTATATGTCGTCGTATACCATATTTACCTGCATTATATAGGACTGACACTGTTTATATGTCGTCGTATACCATATTTACCTGCATTATATAGGACAGACACTGTTTCTAGGTCGTCGTATACCATATTTACCTGCATTATATAGGACAGACACTGTTTCTATGTCGTCGTATACCATATTTACCTGCATTATATAGGACAGACACTGTTTATATGTCGTCGTATACCATATTTACCTGCATTGTATAGGACTGACACTGTTTATATGTCGTCGTATACAATATTTACCTGCATTATATAGGACTGACACTGTTTATATGTCGTCGTATACCATATTTACCTGCATTATATAGGACAGACACTGTTTCTAGGTAGTCGTATACCATATTTACCTGCATTATATAGGACAGACACTGTTTCTAGGTAGTCGTATACCATATTTACCAGCATTATATAGGACAGACACTGTTTCTAGATCGTCGTATACCATATTTACCTGCATTATATAGAACAGACACTGTTTCTAGGTCGTCGTATACCATATTTACCTGCATTATATAGGACAGACACTGTTTATATGTCGTCGTATACCATATTCACCAGCATTATATAGGACAGACACTGTTTCTATGTCGTCGTATACCATATTTACCTGCATTATATAGGACAGACACTGTTTCTAGATCGTCGTACTGCACAGCCTTCATTAGTGCTGTTTGTCCTAAAATATTTCTGGCATTTAGTTTGCATCCTGAAATAATCCGAAAAAAATCTTTTTGAACATAAATCCTAGAGAGATGTGATTTTTTAAAAATATTAAAAGTTTCAAAATCGTTTTGAAATTTAAAAGGCATTAACTGTTTAAATGTGTCTGTAAATTATCGCTATACGTTGTTTGTTAGATGTTGTTTGCTTGCTTTTTTTTCGAATCGATTTTTGGTGGTTGTAGTGTAGTCTGTTGTAATGTCCAATATTTTTTGTATTCCTTATATACTTTTTAAAGAGAGGCGAAATGTAGCAAAGGGAATTTCAAACTCAAACTGACAACGCTATGGCGAAAAAAATAAAGACCAAGAGACAAACAACACAGTACACAAAAAACAACACAGATCTGAGCAACACCAACCCACACAATGTTTCATTTACTATTTTTCTCGGTTTAATATGTTTTTATAAACATGTGAAAAAATGAACAAATGAGTAGATATAGGACATTACAATGGAATAAAACATAAATGAACCCGATTAAATCGAGAAAAGGCATTAACTAGATTAAGAACGAGTTATCGAATCTCATCTTCAGAGAAATATGCATTATTTTAACGTGAAAATAATCACATACTATGTATATGTAAGATTGCCGATCGACGTGGAAAAGACATTATGAAAATAAGAAGATGTGGTATGATTGCCATAGAGACAACTCTCTACCATGTCTAATAACTATAGGTCATCGTACGACCTTCAACAGAGAGCAAAACTCATACTGCATAGTGAGCTATAAAAGGTTTCGAAATGACAAAATGTAAAACAATTCAAACGAGAAAACTAACAGCCGAATTTTTGTAAAAAAAAAAAAAAAAAAAAAAAAAAATGAACGAAATATAAATATGATACACAGCAACAAACGACAATCACTGAATTACTGGCTCTTGACTTGGGACAGGCACATACAGAATGTGGCGGGGTCACACATGTTTGCTGGCAGCAAACCATCCCCATAACCTGGGACAGTGCTGTAACAGTACAACATATATATAAATGTTCCGGACCATATGAGTATTTGGACCAAACGCGTATAGTCATGACAATATGCGTATATACCAGTGTGGTCCGACCATACGCGTATGGTCCGTGTGTTTAATACGATGGACGTTGTCGTAAGAACGAACCTGCAAGGTGTCATTAATTTAGAGTTTTTTATTGTGTCTTACTACATCAAATGGCAACCATTGTTATATGATTAATGAAATAAAGTTAATTTTAATCAAAATTATAATTTAAGTTAAGCATTTTACATGGTCATTTCCGACTTGTCCTTACGAAACACAATATGTGTTGATTTTGACTTTGGAATACATCTTCAAGAAATATTTAAATGTGCCGTTTAGCAAGAAGTCAACTGTATAACTCACAGGAACTTGGGGCATTGCACCCTCATCTTCCCCCCTTTATTTTGATGTTTTAATTGTTAGTAATTCTTTTTTTTAATATCTTAAATTATTTTTAGTTATTTAATCATCTTTAATGTGTTCACGCTCCTATTTATACAATCACAGAGTTTAAACGTGCTGTCCCTATATGTTTTTATGTATTAACTACTGTTATTGTAAAATCGTATGAAGAGGAACAAAAACACATCAATTACGTGAAAATAGATAAAATTTAGAAGAATTTAAAAAATTAAATTATCTAAATACCGGGAAAAGAAGAAAAAAGTCCATTTGGAATATATTAGAAAAATAACTATATGGTCTAAATACTCATATGGTCCGGCTCGTTAATATCCAAAAGAGTATGTACTCATATGGTCCGGCTCGTTAATATCCAAACGAGTATGTACTCAAATGGTCCGGCTCGTTAATATCCAAACGAGTATGTACTCATATGGTCCGGCTCGTTAATATCCAAACGAGTAGATACTCATATGGTCCGGCTTGTTAATATCCAAACGAGTAGATACTCATATGGTCCGACCGTCGGACCATATCAGAAAAAAAAGAAGTACAGATCTGATTTACATTATATTCTCTAAAAACAAATTGAAAACGTTGTCTTAAAGAGCCATATAATAATTGTAAGATTTTAAATACATATAAAAACAAATTTTAACGTGTAGGTGTATATTCAATTTTAGTAATTAATTATTTCAGACAATGAATATCCATTAACCTAAAAACAAAGTAAATGTCAGTTATTATGTAACAAAAACATATATTTTAAGAGTTGAACTCCAGTGAATTGTCGTGACGTTATTTATCATATTTTTGAGGATTTTTCAATAGCCTTATGAGGGTGTGGATGGGGGTTTACAGAATAGAGAATAATGGGGAAAATAAACAGAGAATAGAGAAAAATGGACCAAAAAATAAAAAATAGAGAATGAATAATGAGTTGCTGAAATATAAAGATTAGAGAATGATGGGCAAAAAGTATAAAGAATAGAGAAAATGGCCTTAAATATTAAAGAACACAGCAATGAAGGACTCAATCTTTTACAAGTATTCATAAAGATAATGTTCAAATTCAATTCATTTTAAACAATTAAAGTGTATAAAAAAATTACCAAATTCTATCAGCATATGAATTATATCAATATATCCTCCATCAGCAGCCATGTGTAGAGGAGTGTTCCGATTAATATCGGACAACCTCGGGTTACATCCCGCTTTCAACAATTGCTTCACTGTCTCCGTCTCACCATTTTTAGCCCCAAAGTAAAGAAGGGTTCTTCCTGTGCTATCTCTGTATGTAACATCAGATTCGGTAACTGGCGTTCTCTGTCTCGGAATAGATTTCCATCGTCTGATGATAAATTTTCGCGGATCAATGTCCGTTTTCAAAGATCTGAAGCTCATTTCGGTAGGTTATCAACCACTGGTCTATAATACATTAGATACAATGAAATGATTAAATTTTCTAAACATTACATAACACTGGTCAAACTTGTCACAGATTGAATCATTTTCTGTCGGCTTTCATTATGAAGCACACTCCCAAAATAGGAACACTTAATTATATATCAAGTCAATCAAGCATAGAAATATACAAATTATCTGTCATTTGTCTTAATCATCCAAAATAAAAAATCGTGGAATACACAAAGGCCATACTTATATCGAAAATGTATAAATATACTTTATGTTAATGATGAAGTAGATCGTTTTGTTTTTTCGAACAGATTTGGTCTTATCAATCTATTATTAACATTATCATTAATTCATGATTTTTTTTTTTGTATTTTCATTTTCTTTAAACTACATGTATTTCTAAAATCGGTTAATGAACATATTATTTGATTAAACGCTGAATTTATTTTTTAAATGATAGTCTTATTGCAGTGTTATAGAAAACATATTTAATTATCTAAGTTTTATATTATCTCAAATATTTTAATCTATGTCATTTTCCTGAACAGACAATATTCTAGAAAACAAAGGGCAAACAACTAGAAATAAATCTTTGTAGCCTAAGAATATGCAAATGAAATCTTGTTACTTGAACGTCATCAATGTCAAATCATTTTGACTTTGACATATTTTATTGCTATACCATTTAGAGGAAAACATATATCATTACCTAAGTGTGATTATTAACAATAGAATATATTCAAAGGAGTTCTATATGATTGTCATAAAAACAAACGGGAAATGAAGTATATGACTTTGCGGTTGAGACGGGTCAGATAATTTATTGTCTAGTAAAAATTGACCAACTGTTTCTGCGAGATTGAAAGGTAGATCAGACATTTCCTTCATCGATTTAATGAAAAGACTATATCAACTGGTGTTTTTTCTTTTGTCCAGTGACAAATATGTCATACATTTTAAGAACGAAAATAACTTCAACAACAAACAAATAAAGTATATGTATTCTCCTCTCCAAAGCATATCTATCAGGGAGATAGCCAGTAGACTCGAACTGCCACTTGAAATAATGAAAGGGCCTCGGTGGCCGAGTAGTCTAAGTAGTCGCACTACTGTATCACTAGCCTGTAAACACTGAGGATGCGAGTTCGAATCCCGCAAATGGCAGGTGCGCTCGACTAGAATTGTCAGTTTTCCTACCGGAGGTCGGTGGTTCTCTCCGAGCATTCCGACTTCCTCCACCGAAACAAAAAATCTAACCGGCTCGAAATAGTACAATAGTGCTGAAAGTGGCGTTTAACACCAATTAATCAATAAATCAACCAATGAAGTAATGGGTATGATGGGTAGGGACATTACGCTTGCTTAGCGACAAATCAAGCAAGGGTTTCATCAAAAACTAAATTGTACATACAATAAATTACATTTACAATCGTTGTCACAATGCATATATGCATATTCTTTGCACATTTGTCGAAATGTACCCTTTTGAATCAATAATTGCAATCCTCTTTACCAGCTAAATAAAAAAATATATAAATTGAACAGCCTTTATTATATAATGACAGTCATTATCATTTCACATATCATAATATTTTATCTTATAAACCTATTTTACTGCTTATACATGAAGGACATTACAAATTACTGTTTGAGTACATATAGATACAACAGTTGGGACCTCTAAGCTAGCTAGTCCTGTTTTTCGTTACCAAATAATCTCATAACACGGATGATCTTAATTCAATAAATACGACAGGTCGGGCGTTCATGTATGGAGCAAGTCTAATATAAAAATAAGGAGATGTGGTATGATTGCCAATGAGACAACTATCCACCAAAGTTCAAATGAAGTGGATGTAAGCAATTATAGGCAACCGTACGGCCTTCAACAATGAGAAAAACCCATACCGTATGATCGGCTATAAAAGGCCCCGACAAAAAAATTATAAAACGATTCAATTGAGAAAACTATCGGGCCTTATTTATAACAACATTATGTACGAAAAACAAATATGACAGACATGAACCAATGACAACCACTGAACTGCAGGCTCCTGACTTGGGAAAGGCACATACAGAATGTGGCGGGGTTAAACATGTTTATTAGCGCTCAACCCTCCCCCTAACCTGGGACAGTGGTGTAACACTACAACATAAGAACAAACTATAAAAATCAGTTGAAAAAGACTGAACTCATCATATGGATACAAATAGAAATACTTCTAACAAAAACACAGAGTGGACGTGGACGGGTACTTATACATCCCCACAACAAAAAGACACTAGGTACAGATCTGAGAGTACTCGCAGTTACTGACAGCTAGTTCATGTATCCAAGACTAAAATATTAATCAGTATACATCCAACAGCCAATGAATTTATTGTAAAGACGTCATTAACAGTGGAGAAAAAATATGACCTTGTGCAATGCCAAACTATATGTATCGACAGATTGTAGTACCGTGTAATATTTTGTGTGGTTTTAATTTACTGACAACAAAATCAATATTTATACCAATAAAAACAATACTCAAAGATTTAATTACAGTGTTGAATAGGTGACCTTGTAGAATAAGTTTATTATTTAAAGAATTAAAATTACCCGAATCGTAAGTAAATGTACATCACCGTAACATTTAGGATGTGCTATTCCGTTTAGTTTACTTACGTTCTTAGATTTTACTCCTGATTTTAACAACAGTAAAACAGTGCAGGTACGATAGGATGAGAATATTTCATTTGCTCTAAAGTAAACAATGGCGCAGAACACAGCTTTATTTAGTTTTTGTATGAATATAACTAATTAAAAAAATAACGAATAAAGTAGTAGATTAAATAAAAAAATCTCCTATTGACTTCAATGCAATCCTAAGAATGGAATTACATTTACACCTGGTTTACCTTTAGAAATCTGATGCTTTCATATATCATTCATTTAAGTACAAATGTAGCCCAATCTCTTTCAACAATCAAAACATAGGGTCATGCAGCATTTTAGGGGCCATTCACATCAATTGGCATTGTTCACAAACACTTATTTCATACAATGACCCCATTACTTTTCAACAGTAGTTAAAAATAAGTGCATTCATCATTTTCTTTAATTTTTTAACCCTAGTTTTAATCCATCTTTTCAAAAAATATTTATAACAAATATTTTCTACCAATCAGTGGATCATATGACTTTACTTTTATCCAGAAAGTTCTCCACTCACCCCCTTCCAATAACAACCAATTAATACAATAAGTAGGTTATGAGACGAAGGATAAGACTACCAATAGAGATTTAGAGTATATGTGTTGTTTCAGGCAGAATATTTGCCAAAAACGGACCACTCATTTCTTTTTTGCGACCAGAGATGGTCATAAGGGATCGGATATCAAGTCACCATTCCGACCGGTGGTTCTCTCTGGATAATTCCACCATCAATAAAAACTATAAATGTTGCCAAGAGTGCTTAAAGATGGTTAAACACTAACATTAACCAATCCGACGGGACGTGGCTGCGTATTATATACTTCAGACAAAACCAAACAGACGCCCGACTGTTACAAAGAATTTTACGGCGAGACGAAGAAGTCCAAGTGACGACTATACGTTTATATTAAGGTTTGTCATCGGGGTTTTATCAGAAAAGGGGATAGAAGAGAAATCGAATACTTTGAGTGCAAATCAGTTAAACTAATTCTACTTGTTTATTTCGCCTGTCAGAAAAAAATCTTGATCTTAAAGGGGCATAAGTTACGAGATATAAAAGAAAATTAAAATATGATTTGTTTTAATGAAAGTGAAATAGTGAATTAATAATTCGCTTTTAGAAGGCAGTATGGTTCAATTTTGTCAAAATAAGCTAAAAAACATCGCTGATGATATATAATTTGACCTCATTGAATCCGTATTCACGTGACCTTCAATTTAACCCCTTAGCTAAAGACGGGTTACACATGAATTAGGCGTGTTCAAGAATGTCAACATTGAAAGTGAAACAAGGGTAAACCATTTGATTGGCTGATTCAATCCACAAAAACTCATTCTTATACAGGTAAAAACGATGATTAACATATATTTAAACCTATAATATTGAAACGCTGCCTCCCTGGTGCTAGAGTCGGCCACCAGAGAACACAGGGTCACAAAGAAAAAGAGAGTAAAAGGTTCTATAAAGTGTAAGGTTCGACGTCCACTGTTTACCGTCGGACCAAAACACGTTACAGAAAGGGAAATCGTATATTTGTAGTTATATATATATTCTCAGTTGTTAAATAAAATATCTGAATAAAATAAAGTTTCATATTTTATTAATATGCCAGCTTTAGCTGGCACTTATGGTAGAAGCATCGAATTGGAATAAAGAACGATAACTCTCTCTACATGAGCAATCTAAAAAGTTTCGTCACTCTCGTTAAATCTCGTACGATTTTTTTTTTTAATTTTCGAAGTAGATCAAGTCAAGTTATCTAACTCTTAAAAATATTTGTTTTCTTTTTTTTCATTATATTTATTAAATAAACATTGTATTCTTGCTTGGCTTCAAATATACGGTCAATTCTTCAAATAATGAAAACGAAATTATCATTGGAATATCCGTAAGGACAATTTCAGGACATTAGTTTAACCCTTATATTTTTAATGGCTGCCAGATTCTCGTTTAATCGCGATCTTGAAAAAACGGGACAAAACGGAATAAATTCGATGTTAAATACGACATGAATTTTTATTTTTTTACAAAAACAAGAATTTAGAAATTTTAGTAACTTGTGCAGTTTATTTCAATTTTATTGTACCACGGAAATAACCGAAGTTTGGACAACAACATCTTACGCCATGTGACATGTTTCATCGTCTGCTTCATTTTTCCACTATCAGTGACAAATCTCCTAAATTACCACAGGTACTTCATTTAAAAGTCACAATATCATAATTAATGATAACATTTGTAGTTTAAAAGTTCCGTCCAGCCATGGGAACACAGAAAACCCTCTGCAAGCAATAAATTTTGGGAGAAACGTAGCCGGAGGTGAAGGTAGTAAAATCTGCTACAGAATTTCCCATAATCCATATCAAGTTACAGTGATAATGAAGTTGGTTATACTGTGGTATGTGGTCACTGTTATTCCTAGCTAACA